TTCAATTGCATTAAACATTGAAATATGCGCGAGATTTTCTTTTATTTTTTGCAGAAAATGTAACTAGAATTATCTGCTTTTGTAGCTTGAAACCTTTTTTTTTTAATTAAAAAAAAATCATGATATTTATAAATGTAGCATCCTAGGCAAGGGTTCATGTGGCCCAACATTAAAAGAAAACGTTTAATTAGTATTTTTTAACGACATTTAATCAAACTATGAACTGTTAGAATTTTCATTCTAATGAAGCGGTAAAATAACTTACAGCAGTTTGTCTATTCACTTAACCATTAAGTTTACAGTTAGGAATATTTCTTTACCTACGGTTTTGAAACAGTTTATAACTGGTAAGATTAAAAAAAATACTTAATACAAAACTATATGGCTTTGTAACCATTTAAAACTAGCATAGTTTCAAAACTGTGAAAATAAAGTCAAATTGGACATTGCAGTTAAACTTTTCGTTAGGTAATGGACTTTGGAGTTGGGTTGACGATGAGTTGTGTCGAACCTTGGTAATTGGCTTAATTAATTTTTCTAAGGATGCCATCTATCGCGAGAAAAGTAAAATACTAAACTTTTTGTGTTAAGTAGGTGCTGTCACCTATGCGTGAATGAAAGTTTCGTATTCTAAAAGTTCAGAGTCACCAGTAGAGGTGTGCAGGACGCTGGAAACTCTTCGTCTGCTGAAGGAATGAAATATATATTCTAGAGTCAACGCTGGAATTCGAACCCGCATGATTTGCCGGTCATGAGATTGACATATTGAGGTCTGAGATAATGATCATGGTCATGAGATGGAGCAGTTACAAAGAACTAAGTGGCTTCATAAGGTGGGCCGAATTGGTGTGGATAAAATTCTGGGTGTTTAACAGTATTAGGTGAAATTAGTCACTAAACAATTTTTATCGCAGTTAGCAGTTTGAATACCATCTTTTTTATGCTTATTTGACTGTTTTGTTATTGAATATGGTTAAATAACAATTAAATGAACTGCTATTTCGCCATTTTTTTTTACAAAATCTTTCTAACAATGTGTAGAGCCTTAAGGGACTTTTATTAAAAGATATTTAATGGTTGTACGAATAGATTATGTTGTTGTAGTGTAGTGATGCATTGGTGATATTGTAAACAGTGAATAAAAATACAAATTGCAAACTTTTAACTGTATGATCTGCACTAAAGAATTAAAAACTAAATCAAGTATGAAAATGATGTTTGAAATTATGCATTTAAATAATGTCACTAAAAGTTCTTCTGTTTGTTTCAGTATTTTTTTTTTTTAATTTTTTGAATAAAAGAAAAACTTACGTTTCATTCAAGCCAACATTGCGGTGCAAAGTTTTTTTATTCGTTAGCTACAAACTTTATTTATGACCTTCCAATTCTTAAAAAAATAGTTTTATTGCTTTAATAATTTTTTGAATTGTACAACAATTATGATACTTAATTTAAATTTAAATTTTTTAAGAAAGAGAATAAATTAGAATAAAGAATTTTTTTAAATTGTTTGAGATATATTCATTTATCCCAAAAATATAACCACTTTTTCAATCCCTTCGTTAAAATAACGTTTGTTTATAATCATATGATCTGATGACAATATTATATCTTTTCCTTATTTTATTTTCCGGTTTTTTAATTTTTTTTCAAATTTTTTAAAACAATTTATGTATTAATAATTTTTTTTCTTCTCTTTAAAAATATTTTTTTCATTGTATTAATTTATTTAATGAGTTCTATATACTTGCAGCTTATGTACAGTAAATAAATTTTATTACTATTTTTTCTTTATTTTATTAATTTTCTCCGCATCTAAGTACACATATCTTTGTGGATTGTAACCGCAAGAAGGAAAACAAGTTTTATTATTTTACAGGTCGATTCGGAACGGAATTTACAATTTCCGGTAATAAAGTTTGAGCATCTTAAATGCCTTTCACCTATAGATGTTAAAATCGCAATTCTTTTAAATAAGCTGAAAGGGATTTAGACTAACATCGTCAGATGACTTAACGATGGCACAATTAACGAACGATAAATGAAAAAAAATTATGTAATTCTTTTCTTAATTCGTAATTATTTGGATACTTCATTAAATGTAAATAGTAAAATCATAATAAATAAAAACAATTAATAATTATGATTATAATTATAATTAATTTAGATAAAAAATTTTAACTTTATCTATAGGGCAGCAGGAAAATATTATGTTATTATTAATATAATTATTATTATATTATTAATATTATATA